GGCTTCAGAGGTCTTCACGCGTGGGTGGTGCGGGAAGCAGCTCCACGGCCCGTGGCGGAGTGCACACGCAGCGTAGGTGCGGTCTTCAACCCCGCAGCATCGGTCGGGCCTGCAGCCAGTGGCGTGAAGTCCGCCTGGGCCCCGGCAGCAGCTCCCGCTGGGACCATAGCGCTGGGGGATGGGGTGGGCTTTCGTGATGGCCAGGCTGGAAATACAGGAGAGCTGAAGTTGGTGTTACCTCTGCCAAGGAGTGTCCGCAGCTGGGAGCCGCCCAGCCAGGGGGAGAGCTGCCCAGGTAGGTTTTCCACACACAATCACTAGCGGAAGCAGCAGGGTGCTGTGAGCGCCTCGCCGGGGCTAGCTTCACAGGTTGGCATCGTAGGCTGCATTGGTGAAGATGCCCGGCGATCCTAGGTCACTGGAAAACAGAAGGGTGGCACCTTAGGAGGGAGGGCAGGGGCTAGCACAGCTCCCCCAGTCCCAGAGGTGCTCCCTCTGTATATAAAAGCAGCATCACACAGGCCAATCTGGGTGACGTGGGGTGACTGCAGGGCTGTGACAGGCACAGGGCAGAGCCACTCTCCTGCAGAGCATGCCTCTCACCTGGTGGGGTTCAGAAGCTTCTTCTTCTCCTCTGATAACAGTGTCGAAGTGTCCACATCAGTAGTGCAGATAGAAAAGAAATAACCAGATCTATTTAGTGAAAGGACTTGAGAAGCTGCAGCAGCAGCATCTGAAATTGAACCAAGTTTGACAAGCATGGGATGGAGCGGGAAGAGGGGGCTGGAGCATTTCGCTTCTTCCCCTTTGCAATTAAGGTGTTTTTCTGACTCTACCCTCCAAACCTGGCTGATGACACTTCCAGGTGGACAAACTGCCAAGGAGGTGCTGCCAGACCAAAGCAACTCACAGCAAATAAAACACATGGAATGAGGCAGTTACACTGTCGAACTCTCTGATCATCCCACCCTCCCCAGGGACTTTAATCCCCTGCTCTGAGAGCCCCTGGCCAAAGCGATGGTGAGCTGTGGGAGGTGTTTCTGTACCTCTGTCACTGAGCCGTTTGGCGAGGAGGGCAATGAGTGTCCCTGAGAGCACAATGCCAGCTACTGCCAGAGCTGTGCCGCTGCTGTAAGCCAGGACTTGCTTTAAGAAAGAGGCACCATCTTCTGCAATATCCACAGACCCACAGGTTAGGAAGTTGTCAGAAGGACTTCACAGCACCCAAGCTGCTGGGGTGCCCCATGCCACATTCAAGATGTGCTGCAGGAAGGTGGACCCCACTTCGCCTGTGCTAGAGGAGTTGGGGTCCCACTGTACCTGCACAGACAGGGGGATGCCTGTTCCAGTTGCCTGTGGCCATACACCAAAGCACCTCTGCGCCCATCCGAACAAAGCCCTCCTCGCAGGAAAAGGTGCATGTGGAGTTGTATGTGAAGTTTCCATGCACGTGAGAGCAGCTCAGTTGGCCTCTACTGGGGGGATCCAGTGCTGGGCAGCTGATGGCTGGAGATACAGCACAGCAGTAGCATCAATAGGACAGGACCAATGGTGGTGGGATGGGGACGTGTGGGCTGGGGAGCCAGGGGATGAGCTGCCACGGGTGCTAAGGAGAAGAGGATACTGGGGAAAGCAGTCTGCTACAAAGGAGCACTTCCAGACACACGTGTGATCATGAGATCTACCTTTGCAAAGTGGAGCACCCCCAGTCCAGGTCCCTGTGGCCATACACTCGAGGCTTTCTGACCCCATCAGTGCAAACCCTGTCTGGCAGGAGAAGGCACATGTGGAGCCAAAGGTGAAGTCCTCATGGAGGTGGGAGCAGTTCAGGCCTCCCTGGTTTGGAGCATTGAGCACTGGGCAGGCGATGGCTGCAGGGATAGAGATACATGTAAAGCAGCAGCCTGGGGACTACAAGGCTAAACTGTTAGGATGAGAGGACCAAGACAGCAGAGAACATCCTAGGGTCAACCCAAGGCCTGTGACATCTTAGACAGCAACTCTACCTTTGCATTCTGGGGTGTCCCCAGTCCAGGTCCCTGCAGCTGTGCACTTACGGCTCTCTGGCCCAGTCAGTGCAAACCCCGTCTGGCAGGAGAAGGCACATGTGGAGCCAAAGGCAAAGTCCCCATGGAGGTGGGAGCAGTTCAGCTCTCCTCGGTGTGGAGCACTGGGCACTGGGCAGGTGATGGCTGCAGGGTAAATAGGCACACTTCTAGTTAAAGCCTGGGGACTATGAAGCTAAACTGTTAGGATGAGAGGACAAAGATACCCAAGAACATCCTAGGGTCACCCCAAGGCCTGTGACATCTTAGACAGCAACTCTACCTTTGCATTCTGGGGTGTCCCCAGTCCAGGTCCCTGCAGCTGTGCACTTACGGCTCTCTGGCCCGGTCAGTGCAAACCCCATCTGGCAGGAGAAGGCACATGTGGAGCCAAAGGCAAAGTCCCCATGGAGGTGGGAGCAGTTCAGCTCTCCTCGGTCTGGAGCGCTGAGCACTGGGCAGGCGATGGCTGCAGAGTAAATAGGCACACTTCTAGTTAAAGCCTGGGGACTATGAAGCTAAACTGTTAGGACAAGAGGACCAAGACAGCAGACAATGTCTGAGGGTCACCCCAAGGCCTGTGACACCTTGGGCAGCAACTCTACCTTTGCATTCTGGGGTGTCCCCAGTCCAGGTCCCTGCAGCTGTGCACTTACGGCTCTCTGGCCCGGTCAGTGCAAACCCCATCTGGCAGGAGAAGGCACATGTGGAGCCAAAGGCAAAGTCCCCATGGAGGTGGGAGCAGTTCAGCTCTCCTCGGTCTGGACCGCTGAGCACTGGGCAGGTGATGGCTGCAAGAAGTAGAGACACAGTCCAAGCAGGAGCCTGGAGACTGCATGGCTAAACTGCTGGGACCAAGAGGCTGGGATGACACTAAGATATTCCCCAAGATCACTGACACCCTGAGCTTTAGCAGCAGCTCTACCTTCACAGTGTGGGGCATCCCCACTCCAGGTCCCTGCAGCTGTGCATTCACGGCGCTCTGGCCCAGTCAGTGCAAACCCCGTTTGGCAGGAGAAGGCACACGTGGAGCCAAAGGTGAAGTCCTCATGGAGGTGGGAGCAGTTTAGCTTTCCTTGGTCAGGAGCACTGAGCACTGGGCAGGCTATGGCTGCAGGGATAGAGATACACATAAAACAATAGCCTGGGGACTGCGAGGCTAAAAAGTTGGGTCCAAGAGCCTTGGGAAAATCCTACTGTCATCCCAAGGCCAATGACAACCTGAGCTCTACCTTCACAGTGTGGGGAGTCCCCAGTCCAGGTCCCTGCGATCGTGCACTCACGGCTCTCTGGCCCAGTCAGTGCAAACCCTTTCTGGCAGGAGAAGGCACATGTGGAGCCAAAGGTGAAGTCCTCATGGAGGTGGGAGCAGTTTAGTTTTCCTTGGTTAGGAGCATTGAGCACTGGGCAGGTGATGGCTGCAGGGATAGAGATACATGTAAAGCAGCAGCCTGGGGACTACGAGGCTAAACTGGTAGGATGAGAGGACCAAGACAGCAGAGAACATCCTAGGGTCAACCCAAGGCCTGTGACACCTTGGGCAGCAACTCTACCTTTGCATTCTGGGGTTTGTCCAGTCCAGGTCCCTGCGGCTGTGCACTTACGACTCTCTGGCCCAGTCAGTGCAAACCCCGTCTGGCAGGAGAAGACACACATGGAGCCAAAGGCAAAGCCCCCATGGAGGTGGGAGCAGTTCAGCTCTCCTCGGTGTGGAGCACTGAGCACTGGGCAGGTGATGGCTGCAGGGTAAAGAAGCACACTTCAAGCAGGATCCTGGTGACTACAGGGCTAAACTGCTGGGTCCAAGAGGCAGGGTAACATTCAAGGGTCACCCCAAGTCCAGTGACACCCTGAGCTCCAGCAGCAGCTCTACCTTCACAGTGTGGGGAGTCACCAGTCCATGTCCCTGTGGTCATGCACTCACGGCTTTCCGACCCCATCAGTGCAAACCCTGTCTGGCAGGAGAAGGCACATGTGGAGCCAAAGGTGAAGTCCCCATGGAGGTGGGAGCAGTTCAGGTGTCCCCGGTCTGGAGCATTGAGCACTGGGCAGGTGATGGCTGCAATGGGAAAGCCAGTCTCAGAGGCATATAGATGCAGTTAAATCTAGGGATTAGGGCTGAAACCCAATCAAACAAAACCAAATCTATGATGATACATCTTTGGTTTACATTTCTCACCCAGACAAGTCTCACCTTTTCAAAAACAGTAGCAACATCATTGGTACAAGGATTTTTCTTCCATACAAGTGATTTCCTGGGTGGGGGGGGGTGCCTGTTGCTGCTCTGCCAGAGGCCTGCTTTTACCCTGCACTACCCAGGGTTGCAGTGCCCGGGCTGAAGAACCACAGCTGCTGCAGCCCTACTCATCTCCCTTCCTGGAGACCTGCCTCTATCCTTGCCACACCAGCAGGGGAAGAGACACCCAGGTGGCAGTGGAGCTGTAGAAGATTGGGAAGGGATGACTGCAATAGCTATGTGGGTTTTGTGCCAGCCTTCCCAGGCTGTGCCTGGAGTGCTTCGCTGCATGCTGAGGCAGCACTCAATGTTTGCTGGCGCAAGTGGCTCCTGCAGAACCACCCCAGGTTAGTGCTGAGCAGACACTGAACACCACCAATGCCCAATCTGGTTGAGACAGACCCCATTCCCTGCACCTTCTGCTTTCAAACTGACACCAAACACTTTCCTTGGTGGACTACTTCTTCCATAGCCATCTTACAGGCTCCCCAAAAGATCCCTGGAGGTGTCTACCAGGGCCCTTGAAACCCACTGCTGAGGCACCCCTCACCACGCTGGTGATCTTGACCTTCGCAGTTCTCATCCAGACCCTGCTGGCTGTGCATCACAGCTTCTGTGCTCCAATCTGCTCAAACTCCTCCTGGCAGGAGAAGGCACAAATGAAGTTGAAGGCAAATGTGCCGTACAGGTGGGAGCAATGGACCTGGCCCCTTTCTGGCCCAGGCAGCTAAGGGCACGTGATGGCTGCAGGCAGATGCAGGGCAGGGCCTGTGAGGGCAGGGCTGGCAGCCTCGTCCCTCATGGTACCCTCAGCACTGTCAGCCTCACTGCAGCAGAAGCCTCTGCTCATTTCTGGAGCAAACCCAAGTGGCAATGCTTGCTAACGCAGCTTCGTTATCAGCAAGGGTGGCTGACTGACTCATCTGATTCTTTGCAGAGAAAGAAAAATCAATCATACATACAGCCAGCAGGAAAAAACAATGAGCTATGCTTTGGGAAACCAAGCTTTGGGAACTTGAAAACTCTGGAGCCAGCAGGCTCAGCCCAGCTTGCCTGGAGGTGGATGTCCACAAAACTGAGAGCCAGCTCCTGACTCTGCCACCACTGGGGATGCTGGCCACGGGTCAGTCACATCACATCTCCATGCCCGTTCCCCCTAACTGCAGAAAGCTTTGCTGGTCTCAGCTACCTAAACCAGGTCCCAGGTTGGACCACGGGCTCACCCAGCACAGATGTCATCGGCACCACTAACTTCAAAGCAGGCTTTATTTTTGTTTTAATTTATATACAGAGAACCTACCAACCCCTTGACTCCTCCTGCTGGGTCTTCTGATACAGAGGGTCCCCAGTCGTCCCCCATGGCTGCTCCAGCCCTCAGCTCATTCTGTCCTTGTGCAAGGCTGCAGATGCCCCATCCAGCGGCACAGGGAAAGTGGAGCAGGGCTCTTGCATCCCCAAAAAAGCCCAGCACCTCTTTGGAGTGCCTGGCACCTGACTGCAAACCCTCAAGCCACCAACAGGAAGACTTTCCCTACCCCTGCAGCATGTCTTACCAAAGCTTTCTCTCCTTTGCGGCTTCCTGCCCTACTCTGTCCCTCCCAGCTTATATCTAACAATCTAACCTCATCTTGCCCCACTTGTGGTGGCCCAGCCCTACCAGGATACACCCTTCCACCAGAAACAGGATGGCAGCCCCGCTTTGCTTTTCTCTGAGAACCCCTGAGATGCCAAGCATCCTCCCAAGGTGAATCAGGATGGGCTTGGGGAAGGGCAGGCGGTGCCACCAGAATGATGGAAGTGCCAAGACACCATCCTGCCCCCACAGCATTTCTTGGCTGAGCAGCATTGGGCATGCAGGGCTGCCCACCCCAGCCCCTGGCTGGCCCTACCTGTGCAGGTGGGAGTCTCTGCTGCCCACTGCTGGGAAGCCAGGCACCGCAGCGTGCCCGCACCTTGCCGCTCGAAGCCCTCTGGGCACTCGAAGTTGCAGGTGGAGTTGTAGCTGAAGTCTCCAAAGGGATGGCTGCAGTTCATGCGCGCTCCCTTGGGCTCGAGCTTGGCACACTGCACAACTGGGAGAGACACAGTGCCACCAGCCCATTAGCAGCATAGTGAACTTGCCTGCTCCACCGCTGGCGCTCAGGCTCTCTAGCAGGTAGGGATGGGGATGGATGGCTCACCATCCTCGCACTCAGGGCCATGGAAGCCGGGGTAGCACTCGCAGCGGTAGCTCCCAATGGTCTCCACGCACTCACCATGCTGGCTGCATGGGAAGGGCTGGCAGGAGGCTGCACACACAGAAGACAGTCATCAGGAGCCACTGGCCACCCTGCCAAGGTCCCCAGCCTTCCTGATCCAGGTCCATACTCACCCTGATAGCACAGCGCCTTTTTCTTCCGGTTGCAGGGCTCGTCGTTCCACTTGCCCGACTCCCGCTGCCGCTTGATGTAGATCTCCACGCAGTCCTGGTTGGAGCGGCGGTTGTTGGGCTCCCCGGCAGCCCAATTCTCTGCCTCCTTTGTCAGCGCCTTCCTGGTGCCCACCCAGGTCCAAATGCCATTCAGCTTGCGGATGCCAATCCAGTAGTAGCGTCCATGGAAGGGCAGGGTCTTGTTGAGGTACTCGATCTCCTGCTTGTTCTGGATCGCCACCAGGTCGGTGAAGAACGTCTGGCAGTAGTTCTGGGCCTGCTCCCACACATAGTCCCCTTGGTCACTGTAGTGGTATGTCCAGGCACCCACCTCCATCCGCATCACCGTGCCTGCAAGAGAGGATGAGGTCCAGGATCAACACAGAAAGGATGGGAGCCAGGTTAAGAATGAGGTCCCCTGGGACATGAGGGTGGGTTAGGGCTGGCATCAGAGCCAAGAAATGCCAGTGACCAGCTGGATGTGGGGACAGGACAAAGGGACAAATGTGGATGAGAATGGGGCTCTAAAGGTACACAGACACATGGGTGGATCAGGCATGGCAGAAGGAGCTGAGGTAGGACAGAATTGGACAGCACAGGGATAAAAGTGGGGGAGATGGGGTGAAGGCTGAGACGGAGGGCAGCGTGGGATGGGGTGGGCAGAGCACAGGTGGCAGAAGAGCCCCAGGAGGTGATGCCAACCTCTCCTCCAGCACAAGTAGTGGAAGCCCCACCACCCTGCCCATAAAGTTTTCCCAAAGCGGAAAACCCAACATCAAGATGGTTCCTTAAACACAATTCCTTCCTCGTGCACAGAAGTGTACCACTTCAGTTTTCTTGCTTTACACTTCTGCATGAAAGTCAGCTTGGAGCAAGGCAGAGCAAGAAGCATCCCCTTACTCCCAAAAGCATTTGGATCCTGAGCTGCTCACCTAAGCCAGAGATGGTCTGAAGGGTTTTGTAAAATTCATTATTGCAAAACAATGTCTTGCAAAAGTCACGGTCACTTCCTGGTCATGTCTACCAGGCAGGGCAAAGCCAGAGATTAACTGGAACCCACACCCAGAAGTGAAGGGCATTTTCCTGAAACCCTGCTCTTATTGACAACATTTTGCACCACAACTTCATGCAATCAAAGAGTTTTAGCCACAAAAAGAAAAAGCTTTCTCCCTCTTCCCCAGAAGCAGGTATCTTTACAACTGCAGAATGTGATACAGTGATCACATCGCCATCTGCGCGGAAAGCGTGACAGGGATCAAAGTTTGCTTCAAACAACTGGCCCGGGGCACCCTGTGTCTCAGGAGACCATATCACACTGTGGTCACACAGACAAAGGTCTGGCCATAACAGATTAGCTGCAAATCTAGGCCTTCCCAAGTATAATTAGGGCTCTAGTTTTGTCAATAATTATGCATTTTTCTAAGCAAAATTCTAACAATTTGTCTGTTTTACCTTGTGAAAGGGCAAACTATCCACTTTGTTCAACAAAACCAAAGCTGAGGAAACTATGGCCTTCAACAGCAGCCCTCCTCTTCACCCCTTGGGAGTTTGGGGCTGCACAACAGAAGCTCAGGGCACCTCCTGGGAGCCTGCCCCATCCTCAGCTCCCACCATCCACCTCCTGGCCCTCACTACCTCCCCAGCATGGCTCAGGGCAGCAACCCTGCAACCTTCATACACCCCATGCCCAAACCAAGAAGGACCAAGGGAGCCCATCCACTACATGCCCATCTTCCATGTGCTCTCCTGCCTCTATCATGCAGCTCTGCCAGTAACACCTTCCCTGTAGCACAGCTCATCCCCACTCCTCCCCCTCAGCCTTATGTTACCACTCCCTGCCCCACCTGGAGCTGACCTCCCACGTGGATGCTGTTTGCCTGCATTTTGGCTCCCCTAGCAGACCTGGACGTCTTCCCCTAGGGTGGTGCTCAGCACCCGCTGCACTTGAGTGCCTTTGCATTTTTGTTTTCCCTCCAGAGCTAAATCTCAGCCTTCTTCTGACAATTCTGAATTTGCCTCTGTTCCTTAGCATAATCACGAAAGGTCCTTTGGAAAATAACTCAGCTCACGGAGGATCTCTGGGATCAAGTGAGCACGGGCAGGTTTTGCTCTGTGCAATGCCAGTGTGTGAAGGAAATATCCAACAGGCAGCAAAAACAAATTAGCTTCTACTCTGACTTCTTCTCCTCATGTCAATTAGCAGCTTTAGTTCTGTGTGCTGCCCCAGCTGCACTCCCAACCCTTGCACCTGTAGATCCTGTGGCTGCGTTGGTGCCCAGTTCCACAGCACAGGCACAGGCATAGGCAAGCGTAGAGCTGCTGACTTTCTCCAGTGCACACTACAATTCAACAGCTGCTGTGCTGCATCTGGGGAACCAGGCACCCCGTGTGGACCCTGCGTGTGGCCTGTCCCTCTCTGGGGGAGTACAGTCCTCCCAGCCCAGAAGGATCCAGCCTTGTGGCTGGCAGCTGTGGGAGGTGTGACTGATGAGTCCCCAAAATAACACTGCTACCCTTCTCCAGTTTCCTGGACCTGCAGGCTCCTCAGCAGCAGGGTCACTCTGGGCTTACAGAGGGGGCGGTGGGCAGCGGGCGGCTTACCCCATGCAATGGCAGCAATGCCCAGGTAGCAGATGCCACGAAAGCCTGGAGCCCACGTTGTCCCAGCAGACCACGGTCCTGCAGCAGTGCCCTGTGTGCCAGGGAGGGAGGTGTGAGAAAGCACATCCCACAGGGGCTCACACACCCTGCTGTGTTCACTCCTGGAGACCTTCGAGGTCCAGGGACCCTGTGCCCCCCACCTCTGTCCCCCCACCCAGGGCTGGCAGCTGCCTCCGCAGCAGCAGTGCCCTGTGCACCTGGCACAGCCTCGCTGCCCGGGATTTCTCCGGGGCATCCTGGGTCCATCCCGTGGGTCCCTGGCAGCAGCACTGCTTCTTGGCAGTGCCTGCCTGCAGCCCTGTCCTCCCCTAACTTTCTTTTCTGGGCAGATCCCTACCCATTCCCAAGGAAAAGAGCAGGACCTACCATGTCGGTGCCGCAGACACAGCTTGCCCAGCCACCAGCAGCACCGGGCGCTTCTGGCCCTTGGCGGGCAGCGGGGCTCACACTTCCTCTGAGTGCGCAGAGCATTGCTCCCTGCCCTTGGCCTCTTCCCCTCCCACCCCAGCCCCGCTGTCAGCCCGCATCCTGCCTGCACCCCCCCCTCCCCTCGCTGCGGGGCTCTCTCACCCCCAGAGACCCCAGGGCTGGAGGGGAACAGTGAGGTCAGCCCTGGCCGAAGCCCTGGTGGGACTCAGCTTTGCATCTGCCCCATGGCAAGGCATGTGACAGCCACAGGAGCTGACCCACAATGAGCCAGGCTTGCCTGACCTTCCCACAAGGTGGAAAAGGAGCCTCCAGGAAGGGTCCAGCCCCAGCCCATGATGCCCAGGTCACCGAGACCTCTCTGACCCACCATGTTCATGTCGCAGTGCTCACGCTGGTGGTCGTGGGACGGAGGAGGGATGAGGTGTGATGAGCTCCCACGGTGGCTGAGCAGGAGCGTGGCTCGCACCCTCCCAGCTCCTGCACCGGATGCCCTCCTCACTTGTAACGCTTTTTGCTCTGGCTGCAAGTCTTCATACCATTTATAAACAGTTACTTACACAACGTATTTTCCTGTCTTTGCCTTTAAGCCTTTAAGAGAAAAGTCCAAGAACATGCCAGAGGAGCTTCCCCTGAGTTGTTAATATCCTTTATGAGCTTCCACCGATGCTTCAGGAACCCGCATCATTGTGTCCACCTCCCCTTGGATCACTCATGAATCATCATAAATCTCCTCACCCCATTCTGCTTCCAAGTAAAATTGTCTTGGCGGGGTTTTCTGCAGAAATTACTCTGCTGATTTCCAGTTAGAGCCAAAGCGAGAGCCATGCAGGTCACATGTATTTCCCTGTTCCAGAGAAGCTGATGCTGCTCCACTGGGAGTCATGATAGACAAAAGGAGGAACCCATCCCACAAAAGCCATAACCCACTACAATGACTTTATGCTTGGCCAATATAAATAAAACTCAGTTCCTGCCTCTGGATATCTTCCTTGCAAAATGTTTTACTGCAATAGTCTATTTTTATGGAATTGCTAAGGATGAGTCTGTCTGTGCAGTAATTCAGGAGGCTGCGCAATTACAGCAAGGGAAGAGGCAGCCAGGTGGGCAGAGAGGCTGAGGAGCAGCTGCTGGGGCAGGAGAGCATCTCCAAACACTGAGGGTCACCTGGGCAGGGTGACACCTGCCTCTTTCACCAGTGGGGGACCCACTGGGAGTCAGAGGGGTACTCGTGAGTGCAAGGCCCCAGGGGGGGAGAAGGCTGTGCCCCTGCCAGTTTCACTTCTGCTGAGACTCGACACAGCAGGGCAGCACAGTGGAAAAAAAAATTCCCACTTTTATTTTTGTAACTACAAATAGCTTCTGATATTGTTTTAAAAACAGAAGCGAAGTAGCTGAGACCCAGAGGCTGCCACTGCAAAGGACAGAATGTGGCCAAGTTCAAAACTGTTTGTGGGGGCAGGTACCCTGTGCCCGCAGGTGCCTGGGCACAGAGAGGGAGTCCTGCGTGGCAGGATGGGTACTGAGGTTTGCTTTGCAGGCTGCGGGAAAAAGGTACACATGGTGGAAGGGAGAGAAGACCTGAATCAGTTCTGCAGCGCTGACTAATCACCAGGAGCCCTTCCACAGTTCAGGTGGTTTCCAAAGCTGGCTCCCAGGGAAGGGTTCAGGATGCTGCAGGGCACATGTTCCTGGCTAGGTTCCTGCTGCCCTGCTTCCCAAGGAAGGATCTGTCCCTGCGTTAGGTGCTGAGCAGTGCAGGGATTTCCCAGGTGGCAGGACGGTGCATCCTGTCCCCACAGCCACCCCACCCAGTGCACAGAGCAAGCTGTAAGCCAGGGCTTTGCTCCCCATGGGCTCGAGGGAGCAGGTACAGAGACACTTTCCTGTGTCAGCTTCTCATGTAACTCTGGACTCTGCAGGGCTCTTGAATGGAAATGGGCCTCTTTTGCTGTGCCCTGGCCCTGAGCCACAGACAGAGGCGATGTTTTCTCTGCCGTGAGAGCCCTGCCGTAGGCTGTATCTGTGGGGAAGGGGCACAGGTGGCAACGTCTTGGCCGCTGCAGCCGTCACTGTCTGCCCAGACTGGTGCTCTGCTTGCGGTCAGCATGCTTGGCAGTGCCATGGGCAGGGTGCAATGCTTGAGGCAGGGTGAGATACCTGCACAAGTCTCCCAACAGCACTGGGAGCACCCAGGTGTGATGGGACCCACGGCACCAGTATATGCTGCACGGGGAGGTGGGCACCAGC